AGTGTAATGTGGCCTGCTGTACCTCACCTGTTGGGCAGTGTAATGTGGCCTGCTGTGTACCTCACTACTGTTGGGCAGTGTAATGTAGCCTGCTGTACCTCACTACTGTTGGGCGGTGTAATGTGGCCTGCTGTACCTCTCCACATTGCAGCCGGTGTAATGGCTACCACATGCCTCACTACTGTTGGGCGGTGTAATGTGTGGCCTGCTGTACCTCACTACTGTTGGGCGGTGTGATGTGGCCTGCTGTACTGCTACTGTAGGGCAGGTGTAATGTGTGGCCTGCTGTACCTCACTGTAGGCAGTGTAATGTGGCCTGCTGTACCTCACACTACTGTTGGGCGGTGTGTGTGGCCTGCACCTCACAGTAGGCAGTGTATCAGCCTGCTGGCCTCCCGCCTGTTGGGCGGTGTAATGTGTTTGCTGTACCTCACTGAGCGGTGTGTGTGGCCTGCTGTACACACCTCACACTACTGTTGGGCAGTGTGTGTAGCCTGCTGTACCTCACTGTAAAGGGCAGTGTGTGTAGCCTCTGTGCCTCCCTTGGGGCTGGTGTAATGTGGCTGCTGCTGCCTCACTACTGTTGGGGCGGGGTGTGTGTGGCCTGCTGTACCTAACTGTACTGTGGGGCGGTGTAATGTGGCCTGCAGCCGCCTCACTGTAGGCGGTGTAATGTGGCCTGCTGTACCTCACTGTGCATGGGGCGGTGTGTGTGGCCTGTGTACCTCCTGTAGGCGGTGTGTGCAGCCTGCTGTACCTCCCACTACTGGGGCGGTGTACAGTATATGTGGCCCTGCTGTACCTCACTACTGTAGGGCGGTGTACAGTATATGTGGCCTGCTCTATCTCACTGTACGTACTGTATGGGTCTGTGACCGCAAGAAGCGTTAAGTCTCAAAGTCTACAGAATTTCCCTCAACGTGATTATGACTGTGCAGTATACATGTGTAAATTCTTGGAGTATTTCTTTTAGTTATTGTAGCTAGAAACTCTAACACTTGGAGATACAACTGAACAATCTCAGGGTGGAACACATAGTCCCGTATACCTGTACTGCTTTGGCCAATGTGGAATACAGATTTTTTTAAAGTTATTGTACATAGAAAAATTTTTTAATGTCCTTAAAAAATGTATTAAAAGTTCCGATGGCTTTTATATAGAAAATTACTTGTACAGCAATTATAACATTTCCACACAGATTGATAACATTGTTCAACTTAATAAAATCTTGGAAACAGTTTATATCTTGTTATTTTGATGAAATGTGAATTATTATGAGATTGAAGATGAAACCAATGAAGGTGGTTGACACGTTGAGGCTCAAGTTATTAAGTGGCTCAACCTTCTGTATGTAAACAAAAAACAAATAGTTTACCTTGTGTGTTAAAGGCGGAGGTGGCAGTGTTGACGTCACCAGTTTAATTCCTTTTTCTTCCATCATCAAACTCTCTTATGTTTCTTCACTTCGTCTTCCTTGCATCTTGAGGTGAGGTGATGACATAAGGTAAAAACATTACTCCTCTGTGTTGCCCACAGCACAACACCGACACTACCCTGTAAATGTGTGTGTTAGTAGAACTGGACCCTAATATTTTACTGTAATAAGCCTCAGTGTGTCTCAGTACCTGAAGTTGGCACCGTTATAAGTTTCCAGCACTGGCGGGGCAGGTGTTAGTACAGTACAGTATGGCAGGCAGAGAACATCTAGTATCCTCCCCTGACACATCAAGGCTCACGGGTCAACAAATCACAAATGTGTGGTTTATGGACCAGCAATACTCAAATTCAATAATATATCACTAAATATTTAATTATCTGCAACACAATTCACTGTTACTTTACTCAGTTAAGATTCTAAACAAGTAAACTTGCACTTACCTGAAGCCTTTCTTGTTGCGTCGTGTCACTCTGTAAAACAAAACAATGTCAGACGCAGAATAACTATAGTCCCCGAGCAAACTGTTTTATAACCTCGGAAAATTTAGTTGTGATAAGCTGGTAAAAAAAAAGCAACTATCAAACCCACTTTATATTACTGTACTTTCTTACGACTAAACTCAACGAAACGGAACTACATTGGGTGAGACATGAGCTCTGCATAAGGTTAGGTTAGGTTAACAATTATTAGACTGTTGGCTCCCCGTTCTTGTATACATGAACACCTACACAAACCCTCACACACCTACACATACCAATACCATCTCACAGGTATATAATTAACCTCTGACCCCGTGACCACCTGTGAATTAAGGCACTAGGTATGCTAATTAACCCAATCACCATAAGGCATAGGTAATTGTTCACTATCACTATACCTGTACAGATCTAATTAATGCAGAGAAGTTGGTCCTTAACTGGGTATTAAAAATTAGTGGGAAAGTTAAATTAAGAGGAAAATTTAACTTGGGAACCTAAGAGAATCCATTTTTGTGTTGTAACTTAAGTGAATCAGTTAGATACGATCTCACATCACCAGTTAGGAGGAAAATTTAACTGATAACAACGAAATATTTTACAAGGTTTCAGTGTTTCATATTTTTTACACACACACACACACACACACACACACACACACACACACACACACACACACTCTCTCTCTCTTTATCCCACATCAAAATCCCGTGAAAGATCAGATCAGTTGCAATAATAAAAAACAATTTGCAATCATAGAGCGTTGCAAATCAATGACAACTTCAATGCCAGTTTGTTACTGAGGTGTATAATTAATTCTGGATAGATTAAATTTTTGGCAATGTGCACAGGTGAGATTATTTAATTAACCAGGGTGCTGATACCTGTTTAATGGGGAGGGACGAAGGGTGTGGTTGTGGTGGGGGTGTGGTGTGACGTTTATTTCAGGGAGAGAAGGAAGGAAGAGTGGGTATGGTGGAGGGAGGGAGCAAGGGAAGAGGGTGAGATAGAGGGAGAGAAGGAAGGAGGGTATGAGTGAAGGAAGGAGGGTATGGTTGAAGGAGTGAAGGAAGGGAAGTGGGTGTGGTGGAGGGAGGGAGGAAGCGAGCAACGGAAGAGGGTGAGATAGAGGGAGAGAAGGAAGGAGGGTACGGTTGAAGGAGTGAAGGAAGGGAAGTGGGTGTGGTGGAGGGAGGGAGAGAAATAGACAGGCAGATAGAGACCAACCCCACACACACACACTGAACTAATAATCACATTTAATCCTCCATATTCACTAACTATCTGCTCTAAAGTAATTAAGTCACACTAAACCACTAATTAACACACATGCAATTAGTGGAACCCGAGGAAGACGCGAGCAAGATGGCAATATTACCTTCAACGTGGGAATATAGTGTGTGTGTGTGTGTGTGTGTGTGTGTGTGTGTGTGTATGTGTGTGTGTGTGTGTACAGTATATATGCTTTTGTATCTGGACGAAAATTTGGGATGGATGGATGGATGCAGTAGCAGTAATAATATAATAATACTACTACTAATAATAATACAGTAATAATAATAATACAGTAATAATAATAATAATAATAGTAATAGTAATAATATAGTAATAATAACAATAATACAGTAATAATAATCAATAGTATAATTTTTATAAACTAAAACTAAAGGTCACCAACTAAACTGAAGTCAAACCAACAGCGTAATATTGAATTCACACATCGGCCTAAATTTACTGAATAAAATCTCTTATCTATAAGATATTATATAATTTAACTAAATTATAAGTAGAAATATAGAAACTATATGTCGGAGATGAGATGATGAAAGGAAAATGTGATAAAATTGTCGACATAATTGAGGTAAATAATGATGGTTTGCTGTTTAAAGATGGCGGCTGAGTTTATGTGGAGACTGGTAACCTGAGATAATAAAACCAACAAATAACGACTTACTTCACTAATTTACCTCAACCAGTATTACCTTGTGTGAATATAGGTCAGGTTAAGGCAGACATGGAGGGTGAGTGAACAAGAGTAAAGTAATAACGACCACTTGACGTACCTTATCACCACGCTGACACACACGTAATATTGGTTTTATCTTCTCTTCTTCCACTTTTTCTTCCATCACATATTTCTTAAAAACTTCCTGGACGACCTATTTATACTTTTCAGTTGGTCTCACGAACTTAACTGAGGTTATTGTGGATATTTGAGGTGGTTTTGCGGGAGGCCGGGGAGTGAGGCACCTCCTTCAACCATCCCGCCATTATCCCTCATCCGCCTCCTTCACAGAAAACGAGAATAATTCCTTAGAATACTATACTGTATACTAAATTCACTAAATAATACTACATTAACTTAAAAATAAGGTAATTAAGCTTGTATCTTCTGGTAGTTGTGTATACTGTGTTAATTAGTGAGTCAATTATATTAGCGACATAATACGCGCTTTATCTTATACCATCACAGGGTAAACACGTTAATTATTATGCCATGGCTAAACATTTATTCAGTATAATTACACATATAGTGCAGGAATACAAATAATAGTAGATAGATAAATACATGGACAGATACTGTATAGATAAACAATTAGATTTGAATTTGCCCCACACGGGGACTAGTTTATTGGGCACCTTACATCCTGTGCAAGGTGAAGCGTTTACAGCGCCCAACTGGGAAGCATGCGGAGTTCATGCTTGCCTTCATAACTCATGCATTAAGGGCGTAAAAGCCTGATGGGCCATGGGTTTTGTTAGCAAGTTACATAAAGTGACAGAATGAGTGTGGGGGTAAAATTCCCGGTACATTTCATCTGTTTATGGAAAAACGTGGCAGGTCCCTAGTGCCAGGCCTGTCTCTAGGAGGGATATCTGGTCAGGGAGGAAAGAGGTGTTGGTAACGGCTGAGGACCTGTAGGAGGAGGTCATAGGGCAAGTGAGGATGTAGTGAGAGTCGGGTTGGCCACAAAGTTTACAAACAGTGCGGCCAGGCTCAGGGTTGCCAATGTACTCCCATAGGTACCTGTACCCTCGGTGCAGTCTCATGTATATAATCTGTTGAGATCGAGTCAGGGATTGATACTCCTTGTAGTGGAGGTTACAGCGTCATAGTGGCGCTACCCCGTTGTTTCAGGTGTGCCCAATGTTCGTCGAATGCTTCTCGTTGTGCTGCGTGTATGCGAGACAAATAGACTGATAAAGATATTCATTTATGAGGTCAAAGATCAAGTGTCACTCCATTACTAGCCTATACAGTGCCCGAGGATGACCTTGAAAGTCAATTCAGCCATCAAACCCAGAGTGCTAAGGCCATAACCTAGCAACAAGAGGATGAAACCCCCTTGAAGGTTGTCCATAGTCAGAGGTCGAAACTGTGAGGCTTCCTCTGACTCGTCGGAGGCCCCTGGGTCACCTTCCTGCAGGCGATTCAAGAAAAACCATAAACAGAGGAGACTTAGTCACCTGGGTGCCCTGACATACTTACTGTAGGTGAATCAATACAATAGGAACGTTGTATAGTCACCTGACATTCTATTTAAGGTGAATCAATACAATAGGAACGTTGTATAGTCACCTGCCATTCTATTTAAGGTGAATCAATACAATAGGAACGTTGTATAGTTACCTGACATTCTATTTAAGGTGAATCAATACAATAGGAACGTTGTATGGTCACCTGCCATTCTAAGGTGAACATTTTAAAATTTTCGAGTGATTTTTGGTGTTTTTAGGACAAGTAATCTCAATGAGTTTATTAATACCCCATTTTTATTAGACTGGGGCTTTGTTGTACACCATTTAGATACCTGCATTGTCTAGGTACACTCTTTATATACTTGCACTATCCAGGTACACTGTATACCTGCACTGTCTAGGTACATTATTTGTATACTTGCACTATGTACATGCTGAATCAATGTAAATTTGTAGAACACATTTACTGAATATATATATGTTTATCATATCTATCAATTAGCAAGGGAGTGTGTGTGGGTGAGCATAATATTTGGTGCTATTATACGAAAACCTACATAAAACTGTACACACAAAAGTACTAAACGCTAGATAGTGTACCCACCTGCTTGTTCCTACGAGTAATCTTGGCTTGTTTACTCTTAATAATTATATCAGCTAACCACTTCTTGGCTAGACCGGCCTCCGTCAATTTCCTGATGATGGTGTTGAACTTGGCTATGTAAGGGACGTATTTAGGATAGGCCAGACCTATCCCAAAGGGCGCTATGTATTCTCTCATCACGTGTAGGGATGCCTTGCCTCTTCTGTCAGTGTAGTCTACTGATGATGGTGTTGAACTTGGCTATGTAAGGGACGTATTTAGGATAGGCCAGACCTATCCCAAAGGGCGCTATGTATTCTCTCATCACGTGTAGGGATGCCTTGCCTCTTCTGTCAGTGTAGTCTACGGCTATTGTGTAGTCCAGGAAGCCCCTACTCTCTAAGAACGAGTACCTGCCTGTAGAAGATCATTATGTTTACCTGTATAAAGCATTTAGTGTCATCTTACATTTGCCTGTCGTTATATAGCAGGACTAAAAACGTCAATTTGTCTTGTCTCCTATCTTACACACACACACACTCTTTCTCTCTTTGTCTATGTGTCAGTCACTTTACCTCCTCTCCACAACTCACCCTGGACAGTACGTTGAAGTCCCTCACTAGTAGAAGGAACATGCTGGTACCTCTCAGCCAGGAACCTTACATACGGGTCAGCATTCTTCTCCATCACTCTCTTGAGGGTGTACCCGATGCTCCCCACGTCCACATCCTTCTCGTGCAGTTGTCTGTGAGTGTCGATGGGTGGCTGTTCCAGGTGCACCGTCAAGTAGGATACGAGGGATCCCTTGTAAGCCACAGCCAGGATGATAAACGCCATACTCCACAGAAACACGAAGATCCTCAGATGAGATGCTGTGGGGACACGCATCCAGGAGGTATTCATAACACAAGCGTACAGCAGCAAGCAGATGTTGGCACTATGACGGAACCAAGGAACCTCCTGTGCTTGTCCCTCCTTCAGATTGATTATAAACCCAAGCCTCGTTATCCCCACCAACATCAACATCCCCGCCAACACGGAAATAAAAATAGCGACCCAAGTCTCCAAAAGAAAGGGCAAACCCAGAGCCATCCACTGTGGCAGAGGTCCAGGCACGAGGTTCACAAAACACAAGTATTCTATATCATATTCTTGTGACATGTCAATAATGGCGAAGTACTGTTCCATTATATACAGGTCTGCCACCCCTATGTCTGCCTGGCGGTATTGGAGATCTCCCATCAACCCCGTCCAGGAACCATTGTCTTGTTCCCAGCCCCACATCTCCCCATCAGACGGTCTGCTGAAACTTACACTGAAGTTCACTGCCTCGCTCAGGGCCCTCACTACCTGTGTGGGATGTTGATGCTGTTAGTTGAGATGATGCTCCAGGTTACACACATCGAGACCCATTCCCCAACTATGCAACTGATTATTTTCAGCCTTCCGACTGCCATGCTCTTTCAATAAGCCGTTAATTATTATTATTATTAAAAGTATACACACAAACATTCGCAAAAACATACATACACAAAAGTATACACATATGAAGTAAGAAAAAATAATCCGTTTTCCAACTGGTTATATAAATACCAACTTCGTCTTCCAACTAAAAATATAACATCTGTGACCTCAACTTCCAAGAAAATTATTAGTTAAAGGAACTTTAAGTTTATCAAAAGGGGTTAACATCGATGATTCAATATGGAAATATTAGTTAAAGATATGTTAAGTCAGGTCAAGTCAAATTAGTTAAGGTTCGATTAGATCAGGTCAGGTTAGGTTGGATAGTAGGTTGGGTCAGGCCAAGTTAAGATAGGTCAGGCAAGTTAAGTTAGGTCAGGCCAGGCTAGGTAACTGTTAGGGTGTTTAATCTTCAGGTAACCCCTTCCAGAAATCTTACCTCAATATCAACACCATACAGAAGATGTTCCCCATCCTCCTGTTCCTCCATAAAAATCCTGGGAGGGAAGTGAAAGGTCACGACCCTCATCCTGCGGCCGTGGAAGTCCATCAACTTATCAGGGAAAAGGTCCTTCTTGTCCTTGGTCACTAAAAGTCCTGCTCGCCAAGTCAGGAGGGATCGGGGACTAGGGAGGCCGTATGGGGTGTTCGTGAAAACCTTGAGAGTCGATGAACTTACACCAGGGCGCACAAACAGGAGGTTAGACATGGTGTTAATCTCCTCTAGTTTCAAGAACTCTTCAAGTGCCGTTGTCTCGCTCTCAGTGACGATAAGATGTTTACGTGAGAGGAAGTATTTGTCCCAGTCTCTGTTTGTTTGCAGGAAGAGATTCTGTGCATGAGAGATATCCCTAGCGAGCGTTACATACACAGGACAGCGCATCACTGTGTTCAGATCAGTATCCAGGAGAACATTAGATAGATTATGACCTAAGTTGAAGATGATCCATGGTGATCCTCTTGTACTGAGAAAGTGACCCATCATGAAAGATCCATAATCCATTAACGCGCGCTGATCCATGAGATCTGATCCAGAATCTATGTAAATGCCTCCTTGTCTCCCTTCAAGTGTGGGCGTCTCGTGGAATATTACTGTAGTACACCCTTGAAAATATTCGTTCTCTAATTCCTTTATGAACTGAGCCACCAGTTGTGGGAGAGACTCAGGTAATTCAGGGTGGGATTGAGGTAGTTGAGATTGGGATTGAGGGAGTTGCAGAGTCATCGTCAGCCCAATCATCAGCACCAATGACCAGCACAGCTTCCTGATAATGTTAAAATTAATTTTAAGATGGCGTCCTTATTAATAACATAACAAAAATAACTTACAAGTATTTCTCTAATCACAGTTCAGCAATCAGTGCACATTACCTGATTAACACAAAGCATGTTTAATCATGACGCAGTAATAATAACAATACATCGACTAGCTTACATTTTGAGAAGGGGGAGAGTAGGTCCACCTCCCTCAGTGTACCAGATGTCACTACCAACCCAATCTCCTGCACTGCTCTTATATACCCTCATAACCTAAGCTACCACCGAGCCATTATGAACCTCATCAAATGTTATGGTGAACAGTGCTATATCCTTGTCTGTCTGTCTCCATGAAGCTTCTTGGTTTATCCTTGGTCAAGTCAACTAACTCACTGTTTTCTAGTCTGTATACCTGCACTACATATGTACATTGTTGGTATGCCTCTACTCTCACTCTATATATATATTTTACATTAAGTATTATATTTTTTTACCATCATTGTATCACTCTCTCTCTCTCTCTCACAGTAAGACAGAAGCAATCATAAAGTGGTCAGTTTTTCACCACATTTCTTTTCTGGCCTTAATCAACTTTTGAATGTCACCTGATGAAGAAGCCTCTCTCACTTGAATTCTTTTTCTATTTATCTATCTCTTATTGTACGAAACCTTTGAGTATCCAAGTAATGGATTATTAAATAAAATTTCCTCAGTGGAGAGAGAGAGAGAGAGAGAGAGAGAGAGAGAGAGAGAGAGAGAGAGAGAGAGAGAGAGAGAGAGAGAGTAGTCCATCTCCTCTCTGACCTTAACTATGAGGGAGACGCCTCTAGTTGTTTTTAAGACTCGACCTTTATTAAGAAAAACATTAAAATCGTAAGAGAGAATTAACTTTTTGTCTAGACTAGAGGTCGAGGTATAAGACGGCCCTAACTTAACAGAGCCACACAAAGGATCACACTTGGTTCACTCAGTCAATATTGTTAATTTTGTATGTGTATTTTTCTGGCTAAATAAAGGGGTTCAATATCCTTATTAAAGGGTTGTGTAAGTTATGTTTTAGTCTACGGTAAAAATTCATAGAAAATGGCAGGTTTTGTGATATACTGTACCTGTAATTGTTCATAAATGTACATGTACAATTACTATACAGGGTATACACTGAGACACATTTACTGTACATACACACACACACATACACTGCATACATTTGCTATGCATACATACAGGGTATACATACACACATGTACATTTTCAGTACACACATTGGATAACTACCGTACACAGTAGAATAAGTCATAAACGTACTGGGACTCAAAGCTGGTACCCGGTTGTATATACACAAGACAACAGGTAACTCAAAATTGGTACAATGTTGACTGAACATTCTGATTTTAATAGAAATAATCCATGATTCACTAACATATTGCTAACCTAACCTAACCTTTAGTACTATTGTCAATAAGGGTAATGCTTGGTGGTTCATTTCATCTAATCTTAGACACAGTAACTATGCAAATGACTCCTGTGATTTAAGACAAATCAGCCACTCAGCAGCATGTATACCTGTATAGAAACTGTGCTAATGGTTGTATACATACACATAATTCTAAGTAAACCAAATGATTAATATTAATTTTGAACTATTCTTTTGCATCCTTAACAATGATTGGATCACCTCAAGATGAGCCTCCAGCTTATTTGAATCTTTTTCACATTATCATTATATTACTACATTTCAACATCCAAGATCTATAAGTGTGTAACAGAGGTTAGCAACAACACCACACAACACAACACAACACAACACTACACTACACAACACTACACCACACTACATTACACTACACTAAACCACACTACACTACATTACACTACACCACACTACACCACATTACACTACACTAAACCACACTACACTACACCACACTACACTGCACCACACTACACCACACTACACTACACACTACATTACACTACACCACACTACACGATACCACACCACACTACACAACACTACTTCATCAACAAATAAATATTGTAAAAGATATAACTCTTAATATTCATTCTGAAATGGCAGTTAAGGAATCCTTACTCCTATCTCCCTCCTTGTGCAAAAATTAAATACAAGAGACAGTAAACGTCTACAATGGCCACCGTCCCTATAGTTAACTTACATTGATGATGGCCACCGTCCCTATAGTTAACTTACATTGATGATGGCCACCGTCCCTATAGTTAACTTACATAGATGATGGCCACCATCCCTATAGTTAACTTACATAGATGATGGCCACCGTCCCTATAGTTAACTTACATTGATGATGGCCACCGTCCCTATAGTTAACTTACATTGATGATGGCCACCGTCCCTATAGTTAACTTACATAGATGATGGCCACCATCCCTAGTTAACTTCCAATGACGATGGCCACCGTCCCTATACAGTAATTAACTTCCAATGACGATGGCCACCGTCCCTATAATTAACTTCCAATGACGATGGCCACCATCCCTACAGTTAACTTTCACAGACAATGGCCACCGTCCCTACAGCCTAAAAACTGAGTGACTACCAGGGGGTTTTTTTCTTCTGAGAAAGAACATGACAAAAAAAAAGGAAAAAATTATATATACGTACTGTATTTATGTGTGTGGATGTGATTATGCCTCCATCAGCGGCAACACATGACAGTCATTAAGTCTCTCTCAACTTTATTAGCAACAGGCCCCAATATCAGCATTAGTTATCAATTTTATCACGAAACATAATCACAATTTATATACTAATGAACTACAGTCAAAATGGAACCTGAACACTGAGTAGAAATAATCAAAATAATATTCATAAGAAAGTATAATTGATGTTTTTAAATTAACTCTATCTATTTACAAAAGTAAAGCTGTCTAGTGGATAGATTTGACAGTAACACCTCTCTGCTCACACCCCAGAGCCAACTCATTATGTACGGAGATATTAACCTCCCTCACTACGCACAATGATGGCATATAACTAAACCTTAAGACATTGAACAAAAATTTGAGGTATGTTGGCACTGAAGCAGACATCTTTACCAAACAGTAATAAAATATAATTCACGTAATATTTCAATATGAAGTCGTGTATTGTTACAGTTTCCTCCATACTGACTTAAAAAATAATAAAATAAAAAGTTTACATATTTACTACCTAAAAAAATACTAAGAGTTCTACACATTACCAGTTTTCCTACATAAATTAATTCTTGAAATACTATGACTGTACAATCACCAGACATCGTATACTAAGTTACACATTCATAAAGTAATGCATCCCTTCAACTATGATAGATAAAATGACACCTACACATATTGTACTTATATATAATATCACATAAAGGCATCGAGTGGTTTGTGAGAAGAAGATGGAGTTTGTGAGAGGCAACAGGTAATGCTGGACTGGCTCAGGGAAGTGAACATTAATATAGAATGAGAGAGAGACAAGACAGGGAGAGAAAGAGACAGAGAGGAAGAGAGAAAGATACACTAAGTGAGATGGATATTCAAGAAGAAGCAGTGTGTGTGTGTGTGTGTGTGTGTGTGTGTGTAAATAAGTGGAGAGAGAATGATAAATGAGATGAATAAGTGAGAAGATGAGATACAGAAATAGAGAGAATGAGTGAGTCACAATCAAAGAGAACAAATCTTCACTAACGCATAAAACACATGTTTCAAGTAGTGGAATTAGTACAAGTAAAGTTATACCGGTATATATATAGTCTTCAAAGTTGGACCATCAACAGGAGGAAGTCATCTTAAAAAAAAAAAAAAAAAAAAAAAATTCAGCATAATGAAAAAAACTTATAATTAAAAAGACACAAGTTATAGTGTTGTAGAAACAAGTAATACCAGAGTCTGTCTTAAACACCAAACACTGTGGTTCTTGATGGTTATTTTATCAGTCTTCCTCTTGACTCTCAATTTGATTCTGATGCACCACAAAATACCTTAAAGTACAACTAACATCTACGAGTATTTTTTTACAGGCTACGGCTACCACCGAGTTCTGGATCACGTCACTTTAAGGCTAAGTCTCTCGTGGTGGGATCTTTGTCACCACAGGACCGCACGTTACCGACTACCACCGAGGTCTGGATCACGTCACTTTAAGGCTAAGTCTCTCGTGGTGGGATCTTTGTCACCACAGGACCGCACGTTACCCTCACAACTCTCACTAGAATGTCTTGGCTGGACTTGGGTTTTAGCGTCGGCGTCGACACTGCCGTCACCTGGGGCTCTTCGTCTTGTTGATGGCGTGTAACATCTCTCTTGTGCGTTGTGGTTGTTGTTCTCTACGACGGCACTTTCTATTGCTGCCTGTAGAGATATACGTATACATAATATTTTAATACTGGTAATTTATATACAGTATAACGAGGTCAAGGTAAAGTCATGAACTTAAAAGACCATAACATCCATAGTTTGTTTGGTGGAGTGATGGGTAAAGTGTCTATCAGAACTAAGTGAATATTCATTGGCCCTTATTATGACTCCTGAAGATTTTGTCATTATTATTCAAATTTCTTTCACTTCACCATACATAACCTGAGACAATATGTACCTACCTTATCATCATCTCCTTGAGTGACGTCAATACCCTGGTGAGGAAGGTAGCCATTTGGTGACTGTCCATTATTTCTCTGGTGGGGAAGGATGTAGGTGGATGTTTCTCGGTGGATGTGGAGAGACGTGTCTTCGTATTTGGTGGATCTTGTATCATCTACCAAGTTACAGTTCCATTATACAGTACTTGTACATAGTCAGCAATGTGGTAAGTTTCAATTTGTATAATAGGTTAAAATATTTATACACCATTCACTAAATTTAACAACAATACAAACAATGGTAAATTATGTTTAGTATTAATGATGTTTTTATGGGGAGAAAAGTTATACTATATTACTGTTCAAGAAACAAAGTAGTAATAAGAAGCATCTGTTACATTCCATAAATTATAATTCTTAATGATCAAAGTTCAAGTCTTTAATGTTTCTCAATTCTAACAGTCACAAACACAGTTCTGAAACATAATATATGAGGAGCTCCGGACCATAACCTGCTAAGAGCCATATATTGCTGAAACGTGTTATGTATTGCACTGTATTCCCCAACCTCTCCTCTATCCCCTGGGTTAGTCACAGAGCCAGATGGGAACCTGTACATGTGGGTCACAGTCCTCTGAAAAGACTCTTGTATGTCACACATTCCTACGTAAAAATTGTCCTCTACACTGTATGTCTATTTTGGCACTTAACAGATTATGGTCCGTCCGGAGTTCCTCATAAAGCTGAATAACAAGATGAAGTACTGAACACATGAAATATTTAGTTACTGTACCTCTAAATTTAACCAATATACTTCTAACATTTTCTTCTGTTCACTATTTAATACAGTACTGCACTACTTTTAAAACACATCAACCAGTGGAGGAACCAGCCCACTATTCTACCTCTACCCAGGACACTAACCTTATGTACTTTCCTTTTCTTTGAAGATGGCAAGAAGAAGATAAGATAATGTTGTAGTTAAGTCTAAGAGTAACACTTACGTCTACAGTCACTGTCTACAACACATTATTAGGTTAGCATTATACAGTGTTTACTCATCAGGGGATATAAGCTGGGGTGACTAATCTTCACATGGTCTCATCATCTCACATAGTCTTACAGTGCCAGTATATTAACTGTAACACTAAATCTGTGTGTAATATTAATATTATATAATACTCCTGCTTCACAGAACACTGAGACATGAATATTTCCACCCTACACAAACAATTCAATTATGTTGGCTAATATGATCTACTTCCTTAGCCATTTATGCATGGGCCCTCCTCTGAGCTGAATAAAATCATCAGTCCTCAGACAAATACAATATTAAAAGTAGTGCCCCCGTAGTGAAGGGGTTGATGGCATAACGTTTGAGATATGTTAAGAAAATCCTAATGTCTGATAAAGTAAGAGAAAATCATAAATACCTGTTTACTGTACTATCACAGCACCAATAATATCCTAACGGAGGCTAGCCACAATGACCAGAGGGAGAGTGACGTACGTAGCAATAAATCAACTTACCTTCCGAGTGTTTATTCCTGCACGTGTACACCGTTGCAGAAACAATCACAATAAGCAGTAAGAGTCCCAGCACAGCGCCGAGAATAATATACAGATGAACATTGGAGAGGGTTAGGTCGTCATTCTTCACTATAGGCACTATGTCATTCACTACTGCAGGTGCTTCTGTTGTGACTGGAGGAGATCCTGCAGCAGGAATAATACACAAATACTAGTTAATGTTGGACAAATTTTGATGTCAACAAACAACTGGAAATTATTGGAAATATCTGATTCACAGTTATTGACTAAGAGTTCAAATTTTTCCCATCTGATTAAGTTTTGGATTGCCTAAGATGTACCGTTGCCAGTACTTATACCAGGTACTGTACAGTGGTTGGTGCATTATGGGAGAAGTTATCTAGCATTCTTAATCAGACTATTATTGTGAGGATCCTGAGGGCTTCATTATTAAATACATATGTCAACTATTAAATAACAGCTTCTCATAGTTCATATAATAAGAAGATACAGTACAGTACAGTACAGCACAGTACAGTACAGCACAGCACAGTACAGTACACCCACCAGCTACGTTCTTCTTAAAAACGGCTGAAAAGTCGGACGCCCCAGCCAGGTTAAAGCACTGTATCTTGAAGTCATAGGAGACATTAGCCTGAAGGTGTGATATTACAATACTTCTCTCAGCAGCACCCAATATTGTCAGCTGAAAAGAAATTCATCAATAGCAACTAAAAGGTTAATTTATATCATATACTGTACATCTATGTGGTACTGTACTGCATAATTAAGAGTATATACAGAAAAATACAAAGTGAACAGCAATATTTAACATGTGTGAACCAAGGCATTCTTACTGGCACCTGAAAAATACTGTACATTTATCCCAAAGAATTAATATACGTACTGTAATATACTATTTATTTTACATTTTAGTATCATCTGGATCTCAACATGTTACATGGATTTAGGAAATACAGTATAGTATGAACTTTAATGATAATACGTTATTCATATATTTTTATTATTCTTTCATTCATTTATTTATTTTCGTTTAAATATAGTCAAAGCAACACAACCTGGGTCATGTTAAAGTGAAACAATAACAGTCAGGATCACGTCATAGTAATAATGTTATAATTATTGGTAATGGTAATTTGTACCAATATACGTACTGTACAATACTGTAAATTATAATGGTTCTTAATGATATACGTACAGTAGTAACTAAGTAAAAAGTAAATGTTACAAATTTTTAATACAGTACTTAGATAGTAGATGTCTTTTAAGAGAAGAATTAATTTTAAAGAAAGAAAGTGTAGGGTTTCCTTGATGATATTGAGAGGAGGACACAGGGGTGGTCTTAGCAGGTTGGAGTGTATAAAGTTGTACCTCTGGTTTGTCCAAAAATGAAAACAGTTATTTTCAATCTAGTGAATAACTGATTTACATACAGTACAACACAGCAGCAATTATTATTATCCTCAAATTTCAACACCATCAATTTAGCAAACTGGTCATTTGTGTGTTTTGTTTGGTTTACCAAATACCTGTAGGTCCTGTTTACACAACTCTCTTCTGGGCAGTAACCAGACTTTGTGTCTTAGTGGTGGCAGAGGACCCCACAGTGTATAAGAGTGCATCAGTGTTGACAAACAAGATCACAGTAGATGTCTTTTATTGTTACAAGAATGAGTGACTGGTGAGTGTGGTATAGGATGCTGCGCTGTGTACTCATTTTACTGTGAACGATGAAATACTGAACACATGAAATATTTAGTTACCTCCAGATTTAACCAATATACTTCTAACATTTTCTTCTGTTCACTATTTAATACAGTACTGCACTACTTTTAAAACACATCAACCAGTGGAGGAACCAGCCCACTATTCTACCTCTACCCAGGACACTAACCTTATGTACTTTCCTTTTCTTTGAAGATGGCAAGAAGAAGATAAGATAATGTTGTAGTTAAGTCTAAGAGTAACACTTACGTCTACAGTCACTGTCTACAACACATTATTAGGTTAGCATTATACAGTGTTTACTCATCAGGGGATATAAGCTGGGGTGACTAATCTTCACATGGTCTCATCACCTACAGGGATGGATATAACAGTGGTAGCAAGAGGTACTGAGGGTAAACACTAAATAACTGATACATCAATGTATATACCCAGACACTGTGATGCAGCTCCCAAGCATATAACATAAATTTATACCCTTTCTTAACCTTGGGGGGGGGGGGGCTAGCAGTGATTACATGCCATTCAGATGATTCCCAAAGATATGATTGATGATATAAACTAACCTAACCTAATCTAACTTACTCTAACACAATATCAACAAACAATTTAAAGTAACTTAATCTAACCCAACCTAACCTTGGTACTGAGATTAAATATGTACCTTAGTGTAATCTCCAGCCTTTGTTGCCTCACGATAGTTAACATAGAAGCCATCAACAGGTACACCAGGTGATGGGTCATACTGCCACTCCAGCTTGACGGCCGTGGAACCCTGAGGGATTAGTGTGGTTATAGTCGGTGGATAAGCAGGACGCTGCATTATCAGATCTTTCTCCAGCAGGAAACGTTGAGAGTTTGGTCCAAGCTTGTTATCATTGTTGGCGTATACGGCAGCGATGCGGAATCTGAAAAGAGCAGTTTATTAACCCTTAATTGGTGGTTAAGGATTCCCCCATCCCTCCCTTATGCACAAAATTAGAGAGCAGGAAACATAAAATTTTCAAAGGTGATGGCCACCATCCCTACAGCTAACTTCCACAGATAATTCCAGAGATACAAGGACACACCAGACTCAATATAAATGTCTGATTTATGGAAGAACTTAACCATGTGGAAGGGGTCCAGGTTGGCTGCAAGAGTGATGGCCTTCCTAGTGCCAGCCCACACAGGTAGTAAAAGAGTACCCTGTGATGCAGGACCTTTAAGACATTCAATCAAACCTCCTCTCACCCTCACTAACCTGTAAGTGCGACCAGTCTGGAGTCCTGTGACCTCGTAACTGTGAACGTGGGATGGTATGTCATCATCCACGGTCATCCATCGACTCCCTCTATTCCCTCGGCTTCTGACTAACTTGAACTGGATCTGTTAATATAATGACTTAATAGAATAAACATCATCTGTGCAATACTTCTTTCCTTCACTCTGTTCTCCCTCCTTCACTTTACTTTTCCTTTATTAGTGTTGCTCCTTCACCCTCTAGGTACATTATTTGTATACCTGAACTGTTTAAATACTGTACATACTGAATTAATGTAAATTTGTATGATGATTTTGCTTTATATCTATCTATCTATATATGAGGCTGTTGAATGGTCTTATTACAACAGATGAGGAAACAAAACTTTACCTTATAAAAGAGAATAGGTAAGCCAGACGTCTCGGGACCATCCCAAGTCACCATCACCGACTCATCTGAGACCTTCGTCATTCTGGGCTTGGAAGGAGGGACCATGAACCCTGAAACAATAATACTTTACTTATTAAATATTGGTACTATATAACTTGAAATTTTGCTCCCCAGCTTAACGAAACCTCACCTTACGTAACTGAACCCAACCCGTCCCAACCTAACTAACCTAACCATCATCATTACTGTTTAACAGCCATTTTCCATTATAAATGATTTCATTCGTGGTCATAACTACCCCACTGCTCTTAAGGATAACACAATATGAATAAAAGTACTGCATCTCAGAACATTACACAAGATATCATGTTTTGGTATGATTCTAAATTTAGGTTTGATGATCAGTTTTCACAGCCTGTGGTGATGTAGATTCAGGTTTACTCTTCCCAAACTTCAGAGGAGACATTGATTCAAAGACTTCTAAGATTGAGAAAAATTGCCTAAATCAGGTACAGTACAGTACACATAATACCAAACCTTTCTTGTTGGCTTAAGGAAGAGGACCTCAGTATTAACATGAATGAAATAACACCATATATGAGAGTCTATACAGGATATATCTCACCTTTCTTCCCTTTCTTCTTCTCTGTTACTACCGGCTCTTCAACTTTCTCCTCATTTCTTCTCGACGTTCCCCCTTGGCCGGGTACACCACTACGATCGTGGCCTCTTCTCTCCCCACCATTACCACCTACTTTTCCACCATTTCCTCCTCCACCGTCTCGCCTCTGACCGTTGCGCCATCTCTGATTGTCATTTGTTTCACTTGGAACATAATCTGTAATCATAATAAATGTAAGTAAAAAACCTTAGCCCCACAAATAATAATAATAATTCTATATTTCTCAGCCAATGTATTTGTGTAAATGATGTTTCCTCAGCACTAACAGTACTTAAAACAAGTGACACAGTGAGTGCGTTAATACTGGCACCGAGGGTTCGTGGTCTTTAACAAGCGAGCACATTGTTCATATTGAAATATATTCCAGGTATACGTATATTTGTTTTGTGTTTTGTGTTCCTACAATGACTCGTAATACAGTAATTGGTATAGACTTTTATACCTAACGATTATCATTTCTTTTTTATTTACTGTATGTTCAGCACCGAGGAATAAAATGTATTACTTTTTAAGACAGTATAATGAATGAGGATCACCTGAGGATTAGCTCTCAAGCTTATTTCACCTGATGATTAAACTCCTCGTCACTACTTGGAGGGATTAGATTAGGTTAACTTAGGTTTGGGTAAATCAGGTTAGTTTGGGTTAGGGTTATGAATCTTTAGATGAAATAAGTTTGAGAAACTAATCATCAGGTGATCTATAATGACTAAAATGCTTGTCAGGAACTCACTTTATGCCTGAGTACATTCCCTCACCAAGAGTTCCACCTTTACACGTACTATTATTAAGGATAGTGGCTCCTGGTCCAGCAGTAACAGTCTTGGGCACTACACTGATCATGGCCACACTCTGAACAGTCCCCTCCGGGTTGTGGGCAAAACACTGAAAGATCCCAGCATGTTCCTTCGCCACAACATCGATAGTTAAACCATTTTCTGTAAGACAAATACAAGACTTATGGTTAAGATTTTAGAACTAAAGTTACAAGTCCTTCATGAGAATTATTTAGGAAGTGGATCCTCAACTGTATTACATTATCAGAAAGAAATGGACCCTTTCAGATTGAGTAAAAAACGAAAGATTGAAACATGAAGCACCATTACCTCCCTGTATCCCCATCTTGAAGCAACAAAATAATGTTAAGCAGAGTATTTACCTGTAATAAGAATATTGCCATCATTCCTCACCAGTCCTCCATTAAACACCCACATGATCTTGGGCTGAGGGTGACCTGTGGCTTTACACACTAACGACACACCTTTACCTTCTTCCACGTCTTGTGAGTCTGGTGACTGTGTTATACTGGGCACCTCTGTAATACATGTACAGCACATTAATAACTGAAGTATTTAGAAAAGACTACTGTACCCTAAACATTGATGGTACTGTACTTTAATATATGGCAACAGTGTGAATCTCTCATCACTGTTTCCTGGGATTAATTCTTCGCCTGGGACAAATGTGAAAAGAAAGTGTTCATGTATATGAAACTATTACTGGGTAGCATCTGTGTGTGTGTGTGTTTGTGTGTGTGTGTGTGTGTGTGAAACAATCATCATGCAAATAATCAAAATGGCATCAGTGGGATTTTGTGGGTGGACGTTTATTAGTATTCAGGACAAAAAAATTCTTAAAATACTAATACTGTACCATAATTTTAATTCCTCATCAATATTTGTGATTGTCTTGATGTAAGAAAGTTGTCTTCAACAGAACACTACTGCACTGTATGTGGAAGTAGATGGTTTATCAACAACACCTTCCTCGGGTACAACCACAAGAACTTTTAACATTAACAGTGAATTAAAATACAATATTGTACATCAATAATCTCAACACTTTTGAGAATCTAACACATAAATCACAACAAGATTAAAGATTACAGGAAGAAGTGAATGTTGTCTCACCTAACACATCCACAGCAACATCCAGGGTGACCTCCGAGCCGACGCCATTGTTTGCCTGACACAGATACGTTCCTTCGTCTTCAACGGCCAACTGGGAGATGAGCAGCGACCCGTTCTCCTGCTGAGAGCTCCGTGACGGCAGAGTTCCACCGTACTTTGACCACCGGACGACTGGTTCTGGATGACCATTGACTAAGCACAGGAGGGTGAGGTTGGTTCCTGAGGCACAAAAAACATGTAGGAATATAAAAAACAGGTTCAATGTGTTCTGTTATCCTTACTTCTCCTCTCCTCTCTATCTCTTCATCTATGCCTTGTGTTCTCTCTTTCTCTCTCTATCCAGCTATGCCTTATCTCTTTCTCTCTTTATCCATCTATGCCTTACCTTCTGTATCTCTCTATCCATCTATCTTTCTCTCTCTCTCTCTCTCTATTGACTGGCCCACACACTCAACAAAATTATATTACCCATAAGTTTACTCACTGGCTAACAAACCTTGACACATTGAGAGCCAGGAGCGCCCCTCACTACCCATCCCACCCGGCAAATCAGTGGGTGGAGCACAGGTAAGGCTGGACAGGTGTAGGAGATACACCATCACCAATGACACCACATAGCCTCAGGGTGACCACTAGTGTCCGCCCACCACCACTATCACCACTGCCATCAACCTCTGCCTACCTACCTACCACCACCACCACTACCACTATTAATACCTACCTACCACCAACGTCAGCCTCTACCACTATTACCACTATTAGTTTCTGCCAACCTCCACTACTACCACCATTACTACTATTAGTCTTTGCCCACCTACCACCACTACCACTATCACTACCGCCACTACCTAGTACCACCACTACCACCACCACTTCCTATCTCGTTTCACCTCCATGTAGTGAGTAGAGGTGAAGGGCGGGTGAGGCAGGAGCTGAGGTGAAGGGGCTGGTTAGAGGATTGGAAAGAAGAATGATCGGTTAGGTGAGGTAGGCAGTGTTGTGGTGGTGGTAGGTAGTGGTGGTAGGTAGTGGTGGTGGTGGTGGTAGGTACTGGTAGTGGTGGTAGGTGGTGGTGGTAGGTAGTGGTGGTGGGTACTGGTGGTGGTGGTAGGTACTGGTGGTGGTGTGGTAGGTAGGTGGTGGTGGTAGGTAATGGTGGTGGTGGTAGATAGGGTGGTGGGTACTGGTGTGTGGGTGGTGGGTACTGGTGGTGGTGGTAGGTACTGGTGGTGGTGGTAGGTACTGGTGGTGGTGGTGGTGGTAGGCAGTGTTGTGGTAGAGGACACAGGGGACAGCCACCACCACCCACTGGTAGCCTCCAACACAGAAAGATGGTAGGTGAGACAAAGTCCATCACTGCTGTGTGCTGTTGTGGGCGGTGCATGACTCTCTCTCTCTCTCTCTCTCTCTCTCTCTCTCTCTCTCTCTCACTATTCAAGCTGTCATATAAACCATCATCACATCCACACTATCCCATCATGTTTATAAACAATTTACTCTAACACTATCCAGGTGGCATTAAGGGGTGTAATTAACTCCTATCCACTGGTATATACAAACTATTCCTGACATCCTCTATCCCAGACCACTTATCCTTGCCTCTATACTATCCCACGACCTGCTGTAACCCCACACACACCTGGCTACATCTATCAAGCTTGCTGGTCACACACTTCACCTCCCCCCCCTCCTCTCTACCCTTCCCCATCATCCTCTTCCTAACACTCCTCCAACTCTTCCTCCTCCTCTTCTTCATAACCCTCCCTATCCACCTGTGTGTGTGTGTGTACATCATTATGCAGAGGGTGTAAGCCGCCATGCAATTCAGTAATGATTACCTACCTGCCATGACCACACTGCTAATGACACAGGTATTGAAAGCTAGACAGCTGTTAAGGGGTAGACAGCTGTTAAGGGGTAGACAGCTGTTAAGGGGTAGACAGCTGTTAAGGGGTAGACAGCTGTTAAGGGGTAGACAGCTGTTATGGGGTAGACAGCTGTTAAGGGGTAGACAGCTGTTATGGGGTAGACAGCTGTTGGGGAGTAACAGCTGTTATAGGGGTGGAGCAGCTGTTATGGGAATGAACAGCTGTTATGGGGTAGACAGCTGTTAAGGGGTAGACAGCTGTTATGGGGTAGACAGCTGTTAAGGGGTAGACAGCTGTTATGGGGTAGACAGCTGTTAAGGGGTAGACAGCTGTTAAGGGGTAGACAGCTGTTATGGGGTAGACAGCTGTTAAGGGGTAGACAGCTGTTATGGGGTAGACAGCTGTTAAGGGGTAGACAACTGTTATGAGGTAGACAGCTGTTAAGGGGATGACAGCTGTTAAGGGGTACACAGCTGTTAGAACAGAACAGCTGTTATGGGGTAGACAGCTGTTAGGGGTGGAGCAGCTGTTATGGGAGTAGACAGCTGTTAAAGGGGTAGACCTTCTTCATAGGGTAGACAGCTGTTATGGGTGAACCCAGCTGTTAAAGGGGTGAACAACTGTTGCATGAGGTGAACCCAGCTGTTAGGGTAGACAGCTGTTGAGGGATAGACAGCCTGTTAAGGTACACAGCTGTTAGAGTCAGGAGCAGCTGTTATGGGTGGAGCAGCTGTTAGGGGTGGAGCAACTGTTATAGAGTGGAGCAGCTGTTAGGGGTAGACAGCTGTTAAGGGGTAGACAACTGTTATGAGGTAGACAGCTGTTAAGGGATAGACAGCTGTTAAGGGGTAGACAGCTGTTAAGGGGTAGACAACTGTTATGAGGTAGACAGCTGTTAAGGGATAGACAGCTGTTAAGGGGTAGACAGCTGTTATGAGGAAGACAGCTGTTAAGGGATAGACAGCTGTTAAGGGGTAGACAGCTGTTATGAGGAAGACAGCTGTTAAGGGATAGACAGCTGTTAAGGGGTAGACAACTGTTATGAGGTAGACAGCTGTTAAGGGATAGACCTTCTGTTAGGGTGAACAACTGTTATGAGGAAGACAGCTGTTAAAGGTAGACAACTGTTAAGGGGTAGACAACTGTTATAGAGGTAGACAGCTGTTAAAGGATGAACAGCTGGTAAAGGGGTGGAACTGGCTATTTATGAAGACAGCTGTTAAGGGGTAGACAGCTGTTTAAGGGTGAACAGCTGTTAAGGGGTGAACCCAGCTGTTATGAGAATGGGCTGTTAGGGATATAGACAACTGTTAAGAGATGACAAGCTGTTAAGGAGTGAACAACTGTCTGTAGAATTGGAGCAACTGTTAAGGATAAACTTAAACATTAAGGGGTGAACAACTGTATAGGAAGACAGCTGGTAAAAGGGATGAGCAGCTGTTAAGGGGGTAGACAAGTGTTATGAGGAGAGGAGCAGCTGTTAAGGGATAGACAGCTGTTAGGGAGTGAACAGCTGTTAAGGGGTAGACAGCACTGTTATGAGGTAGACAGCTGTTAAGGGGTAGACAGCTAGCTTTGTTGGGGGTAGACAACTGTTATGAGAAGACGAACATTAAGGGATAGACAGCTGTTAAGAGTGACAAGCTGTTATGAGGAAGACAGCTGTTAAGGGATAGACAGCTGTTAAGGAAGAACAGCTGTTAAGGGGTAGACAACTGTTATGAGGTAGACAGCTGTTAGGGGGACAGCGCTGTTAAGGGTAGACAGCAGCTGTTAAGGGATAGACAGCTGTTAAGGGAGTGGAACAACTGTTATGAGGGAAGACAGCTGTTAAGGGATAGACAGCTGTTAAGGGGTGAAACAACTGTTATAGGTAGACAGCTGTTAAGGGGTGGGCTAGACAGCTGTTATGAGGAAGACAGCTGTTAAGGGATAGACAGCTGTTAAGGGGTAGACAACTGTTATGAGGTAGACAGCTGTTAAGGGATAGACAGCTGTTAAGGGGTAGACAGCTGTTAAGGGGTAGACAACTGTTATGAGGTAGACAGCTGTTAAGGGGTAGACAGCTGTTAAGGGGTAGACAGCTGTTATGAGGAAGACAGCTGTTAAGGAATAGACAGCTGTTAAGGGGTAGACAAGTGTTAAGGGGTAGACAGCTGTTAAGGGGTAGACAAGTGTTAAGGGGTAGACAGCTGTTAAGGGGTAGACAGCTGTTAAGGGGTAGACAGCTGTTAAGGGGTAGACAACTGTTAAGGGATAAACAGGAGTTAAGGAGTAGAAAAAAGTGTTTAAAGGTAAAGACTGTCCTAATGAGCCCTGCCTAACCTAACCTAACCTAACCCAACCTCACCTTCCCCAACCCAACCTCACCAAACCCAACCTCACCTAACATCTCCCTGCACTTAACAACGTCTCTACTTGACCAAAGTTATAACCAGCCTCATTATTCATACATAAATTGGGTTCTCAGCCCAGGGTCACAAATATTGATCATGCTATAAAGGGTATGATAAAATAGCATCCTGTTAGGGTATCCTGTAGGGGTATCCTGTTGGGGCATCCTCTTGGGGTATCATGTAGGGGTATGATTTTCTTAAGGAGGGTTGTATTTATGATAAGGCTCTTGTGGGTAGCTATGTGTGTGTGTGTGTGTGTGTGTGTGTGTGTGTGTGTGTGTGTAAAGGTATTCTTGTGCGTGGGTACCTGTAATCTATACCTGTACTTACCTTGATACCTCTAAATAACCTTCAAATTTCTGTTAACAATGAAACGTGTGGTGTGGTGTGGCGTGGCGTGGTGTGGAGTGGCGTGGTATGGTATGTCGAGACGTGAACCAGAGACACCATCACCACAGGACCACAATAAAAAAAACCCACATTCCTCCCTGAAGTTAAAAAGTCTCACTAGTGTCACAAGACTCGAACCAACGTACCTGACATCCCCTCATAACACCCCCCCCCACCACACACACTCTTAGGGTATAAAGTATATCAACGGCCTCAGATCCGCAACTTCCTCTATTACGTCTACTCGGATTAGGAGGAGCTTCATGCACACAGGCACTAGTCTCTCTCTCTCTCTCTCTCTCTCTCTCTCTCTCTCTCTCTTCTCGACCTCCACGCATGAGACTTACCTCCCTATATTGATTCAGGACTCGTCTATCACACACACACACACACACACCTCAGGGTAAGGGTAGTTAATGAAGGTCCTACCCTAGATGATACCTAATCAGGGCTAATTAAGGTGAAGGTCCCATTAGCAAGGGGATCAGGTAGGTAATGTATTATGGTTCGAGGGTCTGGCAGTATGGGTCGTGTCGCTACCTTAATACACCTGTAGGTTAATTAAGGGGTTGAGAGAGAGAGAGAGACCCAGTACCTACCAGTGTGCCCAGTATAGATGGTACGAAGGGTGATGAAGGAAGGCTGGGCAGCGGGGGTCTGGTCACTCCTGGGCACCACCTTCAGGATAGTACGGGTGTTGAGGGCAGTTTTCTCCTCCAGCAGGGTGTTGTGGGCGATGCAGCTGTACTCCCCGGCCGCCCACACGCCCACGTCATGAATGAGCAGGTCTCCATGGGGCGTGAGATGGTATGCTGTAATGCCCCAAGGTGAGAGGGCATGAAGAGGGATATTTAGTACAGTATTATGATAACTTGTTCTAAGTTAATAATAACAGTGGGCTACTATGACTGCACTACTATTACTACTACTACTACTACTACTACGCTCAATTACTACTACTACACACACACACCTGTACTCTGGGAGACATCAAGGCGCTGGTCATCCTTGAAGAAAGTGATGGTCGCCTCTGGTACAGAAGTAGGTGCCCCACACTCCACCCTGGCTGATCCTCCCTCCACCACTTCCAGCTCCACCAGAGGGGCGCCGCCCTTAGGATATGGCTCCAGGACCGCCGCCACCAGCCGTCCAGGTAGGGAGGTCAAAGCGATGGCACCAAACCACGCGACACACTGTAGATGAATTAAATCATTACTTTACTATCATGGTTGTGTCTAAGATAGGACCCAGACAAGACACATAAACAAACATGATACAGCTAAACACAGACACCCACCCACCTGGTACAGCCCCAGTTGGTTCTGGTACTCTGCCTCCCGAGGATTAAGATTCACCACCAACACACTACCGTCCTCCGTCTGCTGTACATCAAAGGGTAGTGACCGGTGATGTTCTTCTTCTTCTTCTTCTTCTTCTTCTTCTTCGTCGTCATCATCGTCGTCAGCTACAGCAGGAGCCAGGAGGAAGTGGTGGTTGTACTGCCAGGATATCTTCTCCGCCGTGACGTTGGTGGCACAGGGGAGTCGCACTTGGCCTCCCCTCACCGCGTATATCTCTGTCGCTGGCCACTGCTTGAACCCAATGCCGAATTCAGCTGTTGGGAGGAAACAAGAATGATGGTTTTGTTAATATGGGTCGTTTAGTGGGGGTCGTCTTGTGGAGGGTCGTCTTGTGGAGGGTCGTCTAGTGGGGGTCGTCTTGTGGAGGGTCGTCTAGTGGAGGGTCGTCTAGTGGAGGGTCGTCTAGTGGGGGGTCGTTTAATAGGGAAAGAGTCGTCATTGATGGAACAACCACTACCATCACTACGACTAACATACCATCATCACCACCACCACCACCACACAACCAGCACTACCACCAATACCACACTAACCCGGGTACCAGGTGGACCGGTCCAGCAGGCTCCCGGTACTATAATACTAAGATGTATATGGAAAGTGTACCCGTCTGAGCTATTGTTGCCGACCACACCCCTCCCTCCCCTCTCCTCCCCTCCCTTTCCATCCTCACCTCCTTCCCTTCCATCCTTTACCTCTCCGCTCTCATTTCCTCACCTCCCCTTCGCCTCTCCCTTCTTCCCTCTTATCAACTTCTTCACCTCCTCCCCTCTCCTCTTCCCTCAAAGGGCCATAAAGATAAATAGAAAGACAATTAAAGAAATGGAAACGGAAGAAGAAGAAGAAGAAGAAGAAGAAGAAGAAGAATGGATCACTTTGGACATAGAGTTGAAATCACCACTTAACTGTCAGTACAAATTAGCCCATTACACACACACACACACACACACACACACACACACACACAGTGGGCGTGTTCAGGGTCGCCCGGTACTGTCGGGCACCGAGCCACACTATGGTCCTCACAGCTCCCAGGACAGAGACCATGTTAGGTGTGGCCCCAGGACCCTCAAGGTAAACTGTCTATCCATCTATCTATTCATCTATCTGTCTGTCTATCTATCTATCCATCTATCTATCCATCTATCTATCTATCTATCAGTAGCTGTATTTTATTTATGAGTAAATGTGAGTTTGTATATAAGTAACGTTATTAATGGTTTTTATGGCGATAAGTCAAGGAACACACACACACACACACACACACACACACACACACACACACACCTAACCCTGGAAGCAGTATTACGCCAAACAAGGAAGCACTATTAATATTCAGTATTTCTGGGACCTTTCCTACCACTACTACTACTACCACCAGTACCACTATTACTATCACTACCACCAGTACCACTATTACTATCACTACCACCAGTACCACTATTACTATCACTACCACTAGTACCACTATTACTATCACTACCACCTGTTCTAACCTAAGCAAACCTGACCTAACCTAAACCCAACCCAACCAAAACCCAACCTAACATAACCCAACCAAAAATAAACCAAATCCCAACCTAACATAACCCAACCAAACATAACCAAAACCCAACCTAACTTAACCACACCAAAGTCCGTGTGTGTGTGTGTGTCGTGTTTGCAGGCAGTAAACGTAACTTCGACCGCCCGGGGAGTGTCTGGGTGAAACTGGGAGTGTTTATATGTGGTCAAGAGGCTGGTTGAGTGACCTCTCGTTAAGATTCCAGAGGTCACACAAGTCGAGGTCAGGTTAGGTGAAGATTAGACACCCGAGTTTATTTCACTTAACCTAACCAAATCTAACATAACAAACAAACAAACACAGACAGACAGACAAACACAATAACAAGTCAATAAATGAGAGAGAGAGAGAGAGAGAGAGAGAGAGAGAGAGAGAGAGAGAGAGAGATCCTTCCTGTAGCAGGGAGGTAACACACAGATGACCTACCTGCTGTAGTCGCGCCCATCACCACCACCAGCAGTAGGGAGAGGGCGTGTAGGGGGGGTGGTACTGTGGTCCTCTGGCTGCTACAGTAACACATGATAGTGGCGGTACCTGCAACACATTAAACACCTCACTCATAATAACATTTTCTTTCATTAAATACAAAAACGAGTATACTGTATATAAAACATGGCCGATATTTTCCTCTTGTTTTTTCTCCATGTAATCCGTTAAATGGAGGGTTCACATCTATGGAACCCTCTATATAACGGACTTTCCTTTCTAAATAGTCCGTTAAATAGAGGGTTCACATCTATGGAACCCTCTATATAACGGACTTTCCTTTCTAAATAGTCCGTTAAATAGAGGGTTCACATCTATGGAACCCTCCATATAACGGACTTTCCACTTCAAACAGTCCGTTAAATAGAGGGAGGGTTCACTGTCATATTTGTCCTTAATGAAATACAATGACACAAAAGCTTAAATAAACGACGACTAACTTCATGAATCAAAGCTTAAAACACGTCATCAGCTTAAATAGATATTATCATCAAGCTTCGACACAACACAAAGCTTAAAAAACAGGCATCATCCCTTCCCTCCCCCACCACGACACAACCCCTCCCCCTCACTACCAACATCCAGGTGGGCGTGTCTGTTTTGCGTACTTTCATGACGTCACATCCGGTCTCCCCCCCGAGTAACAGATGTAAACAAACATGTCCTCTTGGCCTTATGTTTGTGATTTAATAATAATTGTTTGTTGTTCAGTGTATATAGTGTGGTGAAAGATGTATGGGGGTTAGTGTGTGTGTTGTTACGACCGTGTCGTATTTTTCTATTTTTTTTTATATAACATGCTTCCATGTTGCTCCATATTATTCCTGTAATGATGTGTTATATTACTATTATATAATCTGGTCACCTTACCCTGTGCTGTTAAGGTTTTACCTGTTATTATTTGTTCAAGCCCATCTTATTTCTTCATTTAGTATTGTAATAAGCATTCTTTGTTGCTCTAACGACCATCTGCATCGTTAAACGACCCACCGGCGGGAAAAGGCCCTATACAGTATATAGTGGTCCACCAACTGAAGGCAGTTCAGTCCTCTTGTCATACAGTTCACATCCTTTGAGTGCCATCCATCACCTGTTATTATACTTCATTTATTTGTGTTGTTCCTGTCGTCACCAATGTGGTATATCTATGTGAGTACCTATTTATGTCTCTATTTATGTCCATCAGTATTTGCTTAGTTACATTTAAGTAATTCAGTGTTGTTTCACGTTAGTTAATTTCGGTGTTAGTTTTTATATGTTTATGCAGTGTTAACGTAATCCAATGCTTTATTTTTATTCTTTTGATGTTTCGATGTTTAGTATCATTTGTGTCTTAAAAGTTTCGATGGTGAATCAATTTGTTGTGACAGCCTACGAGGCTCTTTATTGTGTTAATATTTAATTAATTAAATTTTTTAAGGTTAAATTAATTTATTTTTATCCCCTTTTAATTTACTTCACTTTTTTTTTGTTACGCCCAGAACCTGGATATTTAAGAGACGGCGTAACAGTGTGTGTCCTCCACGCACCTCAATATTGCCCACCAAGGTTATGTCACCTGATGATTAAACACACTAACCTAACCTACCATACCCTAACGCTATCCTAACTTAAGTTAACCTAACCCTAAAACTAAAACACCCTAACCTAAACTAACCTATCCTAACGTTAACCAAACCTACCGGAACCTAACAGTAACCTAACACTTGCCTTCTCCATGTTTAACCAGCAGGTGATATAAGCTGGGGGGGCCAGTCTTCAGGTGCTATGTCTCTCCTACAATACATTCTTGAGGTCCAAAGTTAAGACGCCTAATTTTGTCCATTAAAAAAAAAGACAAGTCAGAGGGGCGCCAGTGTGTGTGTGTGTTGTAGGTAGGACACGGTACAGGATGGTGTAGGCTGGGCAGGGCGGTGCAGGATGTGTGGATGTATCTTGTGCCTTCAACACAGTCACTCGCTGTGTCCTGTCCGTCCCAGCAGGAAGGGGGAGGAGGAGGAGGGGAGGAGGGTAGGGGAGGGAACCAGGAATCTCATGCAGGGGAGTCGAGCGTAAAGTAAGGGAGGGTAGGTGAGGGCGAGTGACCTACCCAGTACCCCCTCCCAGGAACCTGTATATAATTAACGTGGTTTTAGGTAAAGGTGTTGTCATGTCACCCCACAACACACCTGTCTCAACTACCACCATCTTAACCCAACCACACCACCACAACTACCTCCCAATCACAACTACCCAACGACCTCAACCACTGCCATCACTACCACCATCACCACCTGTAACACGACCCCCTGATACGACCACGCCATTGTCAGCACCCAGCACGACCCTATGATAAAAACAACAACTTACTAGGACCAGGGAGGGAGAGGCCACGGGATTAGGGTCTTAATCACCCAGGGCATAAGAGTCAATTAGCCTTGGTCCTAACTTAAGTAATCCCACGGGTCACTGGAGACTGAGGGAGGGAGAGGGTGGGAGGGAGGTCTACCACCACACCAACACCCACTTTGGAGGTCTACCACCACACCAACACCCACTTTGGAGGTCTACCACCACACCAACACCCACTTTGGAGGTCTACCACCACACCAACACCCACTTTGGAGGTCTACCACCACACCAACACCCACTTTGGAGGTCTACCACCACACCAACACCCACTTTGGAGGTCTACCACCACACCAACACCCACTTTGGAGAGATGCCAACACAGTGTTCATCTTCCCCCACTTTGTAAACAAATACCAATATATACGGAGTAACTATGTGTGGCATGTTAAGCCCTTGTTCCCCTCCGCCACCAACAACAGCTGAGGCAGATATTTTTACTGGGAAACAAATATGTGTTGACGGTGAGCTGTGACGCCCCCCGTGCTGCTGCTGTTATTGACGACGATGTTGCTGTGATAATCCTCCTCCTCCTACTGCTGCTGTTAACGCTGTATTTAATGCTGTTATCGCTGTAGCTGTATCCTACTGTACTATAAACGAAATCCAATTACAAAAGGCAGTACAATACAGACGGACCTGTGTGCGTGTGTTCTCCTGCCGGGGCCTCGTCAGTTGCGTCCTTCCAGGGGTTATTAGGAGTTTTCTCCCTCTCTGTGTCAGCCCCAAAATCAGGGTCAAGCTAACTTTATCCATTAGCTTTTAAACAGTTGTAAATTTAGGGGTCACACACACACACACACACACGAAGAAGAAGAGAAGGAGTGACGTACCCTGACAGCTCCCGTGGGATATAGTCGGCCCTCCTTCAGTAACTCAACCACACCTCTGTCTCTCTACGCCCACACCTCTACCTATTCCTCTATCCACACTACTACGCCCACCTCCCACCCGCACCGTCACCTCCAACCCCCGCCCACATTACCAAGATCAGACAAGCGGGAGGCGATAGAAAGACGTGTCAACAAATAGGATCGAGGTTAAGATGGAATTCGATCCTCTGTGTGGCATCCGATCCCCCAACCCACCCACTGCAGCCTCCCCCACCCTTGTGCCACCAGAGGTCGCATGATTGATACAAATTCAGTAGTAAATCCTGTTTCGGGTTTGAGATTTAAGTGTAATAATAATAATAATAATAATAATAATAATTTCATACATAAAACCCATTGTGAGAGAGGAGTGTGGACCTCCAGGCAGGTGTGGTCCTCGAACACAGGTGTGGTCCTCGAAGCAGGTGTAGACCTCGAGGCAGGTTGAGGACAAGACAAAATGACCGAGGAGGAACATGGAGGAATGTCAAGTCATGATAAATAAAAAAATATCACAAAACAGGATAAACTGGAAGAGAAACCACGAGATGAAACTGTGGGCAAGGTTAAGTGAGAGAGGCTGGTACTGTAGGGGGATGTTTGTACCGGTAATATATAACCTGACCAAGAGAAACGACCAAAACACAACGATAAAACACATGATACTAGAGAGAGAGGCAACAGGTGGATTACTTTTACTTGGTGTGGTCCCATTACTCTTTCCCCTGGGCTACAACTTCCGTCCACCATTGGGGTGGCCACAACAGCGGTTCACCACCAACTGAGTTCACTAAAAGCCGCCCCGGGGCCACCCACGCCCACCCTCTTCTTACCTGGGCCACCCGCCGTTCACCACCCCACACGCCCACAACCTTCCAGGAACGCCATCTCTCTCTCTCTCTCTCTCTCTCGGAATACGAAACAGATAATGTGATCACCCCTAATACCCATCAAAACTGGGGTCCATTAGGGCCTGGACCCATTAAAACATTTTACACTCCAAGAGATGTCTCAAACTACATCAATTGGAGAGAGAGAGAGAGAGAGAGAGAGATGCAGGTGTCTCTCGTCCATGTCAAGAGATAACATGAACTAACCCAGACGCTGCACTCACCAGGCGTCACTACCACACAAACCAATCAACAGTCACGGGCAAGTCACCATTCCTGGTTACTTAAAACACCTAGTCACCAATAACAGGTCACCATTCCTTTTAAAACAATAATGGTGACACTGTCTCCAAAATCACCAATGTTAAATCACCATTCTAATCACCAATTTTAAGTCACCTTTCCTTTAAAGCATCAGGTGACTGAAACTCCCTGAAGTCACCATTGATAATTCACCATAACCTAAAACCCAATGGGACTTTAAATTACCTAAAGTCACCATTTTTAAGTCACCTTCACCAAGTCGTTCATAGACTCGTGAGAGAAACACAAGACTGAATTAGTACGGCGTACAACCTATGAGGAAGTGGGGGGAGGGAGAGGGAGAGTGGGGTGAGGAGAGATTGGTGGGGAGAGAAAGCGAGAGGGGAGGAAGTGGATAAGATAGGGAGGGGGAGATATGACGGAAGGAGGGAGAGGTAAAGAGGGGAGAGTAGAGGAGGTGAATGAGTCAGGGAGAGGGAGTGAGAAAGGGAAGGGAAGAAGGGGCGGAAGACACCCGAGAAGAGTAATATGAGAGTGGTGTGTGTGTGCGTGTGTGTGTGTGTGTGTGTGTGCGTGCACGAACCCATCCAAAACTTTCTACTGTCAACACGTACACGCACTTTACCTGTTTATC